TCCTCGTCGACCTCCTCGTCGTCGTCCTCGTCGTCGTCCTCGTCGATCTCCTCGATCTCCTTGGCCTCGTTGTCCTCATCCCCTCCTCGTCCACCTCGTCCTGCACCTCATCGTCTCCACCTCGTCCTCCTGGTCCTCCTCCCCCGTGCCCCGTATCGTGAAACGGTGTTGCACCGTCCCGTCGCAGGTTATCCATCAATAGTTTGGCGCGTCAGGTCATCGGGGCGCATAGCCTTTAGCATGAGAAGCCGACCCCATGCTGCCACACAAATTGTCAGTCACCTTTGACTTTTCGCACGTCTGCCCGTCGCTGCCGCCGGCCCAGCCATAGGGCAAGGCCTGGCTGGGCCGTATTACCTTAAAACCTGCTGCTTAGAGAACAAACGCCTCTAAAAATATTAATTACTCAGATTTCGGAAGTCTTGAGGCCCAAATGTGTTAAGGTGAAACTAGCACGTTAAGGCTGTGCTTGTGCAATGTGCAGTAACTAAGCCGACCCGACCCTGCAGACCCTGGACGGAGATGATGAGGTTGCTGTTTAGCGACGGCAGCGGCGGTGCGGACCCATGCGGGTCCAAACAGTGTAGACTGTCCTAATAACTAGTTCGTATTGCAGATGCTAATACGCGCCCGAGTGTAAGTGTGTGTTTGCGCTTGTGTGTGGAGGAGAGGGGGTGGGGGTGGGGGGAGTGGCCTGAGAACGACCCGTTTCGGAAAATACACCGCTCTGAATAGCTAGAGCAGCACACGAGTTTATTCGGACACCACTGCGACGACGGCGAGGCAACCACCAGGCAACCGCCACTCGAGTTGCTAAATACAGGAGGCAATGAGCACTCCCTCCTCGCACCTGTGCGACTCGTTGTGTGTCGTTTACAGGCGCGCAGCAGTGCGCAAAACCTATATAATCACGTGCGTTACGCTCCTGCAACACATGTGCAATGCGAGACGCGAGTCCGTCACCCACCGATCTTCTTCTTCTGTCCATCTGAAAGTAGCCTTGAATAGGGAAGGCGCGTGATCGGCCAGCGCGTGGCCTCATATGTATGGCTGCATTACCCAGACACTCACACGCACACACACACACGCACAGGCGCGCACGCATTCACGTGGAGGCACAGGGGCAAGCGACAGTATGGATCACCATCACCCTTGACTGCAATGTTTGCGTCGCTGCACGCCGAACAGTCGCTCCAATTAAGTGGGTGAAAGCCCTGCTGAGCACATAGAGAGTGGGGCGCCGGGCGCCACAGGTGCGTCGCTAGGCGAGCGGGGCCCCCTTTAGCACCTGCCGACTAACCACCCGTTTATGTCGTATGATGTCGTTCGCCCGCATTCGTGCACGATGGTCCTCCAACTTTGTACACACTATTTTCTCCTCCGCTACTCCGGGCAACTCTTAGGGTCCACTGCGTGAGAAACTACGTCATCCTTTTGTGTACAACCGGTGACCGTCTTCAGGTGTCACGGGCTGGAGCAGCTGGAGCCGGCCGAGCGGGCCCGTACCCCTGTTCGACAAAGCTCGGCTAAGCTCGGCACCCCGCCCCCTCACATCACCTCCCACGCCCCCCTTCCCCATGCTCCCGAACCCGAAGATCACCCTTCGGCTAGGCAGGGCTCTAGCCGAACCCTTGTTGCCATCGCTCGGCGAAGGTGCGTGGTGCGTGTGAGCAGGTGTGCGAGCGCCAGCCGCCATTTTCAGTCTCGCAGCAGCCAGAGAAGGACGCCCAAGCTAGTTCTAC